TGATGGGTTATTTACAGTTATAAGTACATTTTTGCAAATTCATTACATTCAAAGGCACTTTGCAAAGAGTGGAGATTTTGGGGAGAAAACGAGAGATTTTCGGACATTTATGCTCCTCTAAGGAAGGAATCAGATAGTTAGTATATGTTGTATCTGAGCCGTCCAAAATCACTTAAAATTGACGGTGGAGATCAAAGATTTGTTTTAGATCTATGAAGAGTTTGTGTGGTAGTAAACGATAGTTTTCTTCTTCGTGACTAACCCTGTACCTCTCTCGTCTTCCTCTTCGTAAAACAAGACACAAACCAGACGGAAAATTGGGTTTTTCTCTTATGCCATTTTTTCTATTTTGCAACATTGAATCTTTTATCTTCTTCTTCGTGAAACCAGAGATGAATCATTCGTCTCCTCCGGTGAATCATATAACGGTTTCCTTTATCCCAAGTACATCCAGTCTATCTCTCTCATCCTTTTATCGCGATTGCTAAGATTGGATTTGTCTAAATCTCCAATTTCGAAACCGCCTAAGGGTTATCCGGCGATCTTCTCTAGGGCTCGGACCACCGCCTGCTCCAAAATTTCCGGGTACATTTAACCCCTCTCTCATCGGTTATGATTTTCTAAAATTTCAGAAATCTCGAACCATCTGATTGTTTATGAATTATTTCAGGTTTCACTGCGCGAGCTCATATATGTCGGCGTGTAAGGTGGTCTTCGTCTTCTTTACACAAAATCAGATTGATTTTGCAAGTAGCATCAAATTCACGTATTTCGATTTATCAAGCTGATGTGAGAGAGCCGACAATCTTCAAACATGATTTCCTCGATTTTGTGATGTTTGTTACCAAGCAAACTCTGAACTCTCTGAAATCTAGGTGAAATTTTGAGTCTTTTGTATCATTTTTATTAACCATGAAGACGGATAGTGGTGGACGAATTTTTTGTTTTAGCTTATGGATTAGTGTGGATTAAGTGTTATGGACAAGTTAGCTTAAACGATATGACTGTGTATTCTTTTTTTCATGTGAAATTTAACTTGTATTGGTTTGCATCCAAGCTATATTAACCATATGGTCACATCATGTCTAACTTGTTCGAATCCAAGTTATGTGTAACCATATGGACAACTCAGATATGGTCAGAACATGACTTTTCTGTTTTATGGGTACCTTTGTTCGAATCCAAGATGTGTTAACCAAACTTTCTTGAGCAAACAATGTACCAAATTTATAAAATTGGAAGGAACCTCTGTCCATCGAACCGTATCCACGACATCAATGTCTGTCGGAATCTCTGTCCATCGAACCGTATCCACGACATCAATGTCTGTCGGAACCTCTGTCCATTGAACCGTATCCACGTGTACAGGAGCTGAGTTCTTTTCAGAATCTGAGATTAGTTCCAGGAGCTGAGTTAAGTTCAAGAACCAAACGCTTCCTCTGCATCACTATCTTCTTCACTAACATCAGAAACTTCAAAGCCTAGAGGGATGAATCCGACTAGCAAAAAACACCTAAAATCAACACAAACACATTCTTAACTCCATATTTAATCAACAAATCTCGTGTGAGACGCAAGATTAACACCGTAGAAAACAAGAAACATAATAGAATAAGTAGATCTATAAATATAAAG